GCTAATACAAGCTCCAACCTGGTGACTACTACTGTACATTCCTCGAAAGTACACTCGACCCTTTCTTTCGATATCCATCATCAACCCCTTCCTAGTACTACCACTCAACTCGTAAACACCCACACACTATATATATACAACTGGAATAATGGTACTACTGGTTGCATATACTTCTCACGCGCCACGAAATTGTATATATAAAACATAACTATATCATATAGTATATTAACTGGTCACGAGACAACTTGTCCCTCCCCGGGACTCGAACCCGGGACCTTCCGGTGGAGAGCGCGCGCCCTTACCACTGCGCCAGATCAACTGACAAGCACTACCGTACCTAAATGACGAGGTCACTATGAACAAAAATCTTTAATCCCCAATTACTCGTCAGGAAATCTATAAACTGACCCGAGAGTAGCACCATTGTGCTCAGAAGGACCAACCGAGTCGATTGGTAACACTTTCAAGACGGTTCTTAGGCTCAGTTTCGAAATCGGCTCGAAAAGTGCGGGATTTTGATGTGAGTAAAATTGCTCATATAGGCGCGCGGGTCCCTCCCCGCTCGCCCGAAAAAAGTAACGCGAAAAAAAATTTCCTCCACCTAGCGGTGTGCTGGTTGATCCTGTCACCTGCGGTGCCAGTTGCTAGTCTACCTGCCACGCTGTGGCAGACTTGACGTTGTAGTAGTCCGCCATGGTCCTGCCTGACACACTCGTGATGGTGGCTTACCACTGTTACTGGTTTGATGTTGAGCCAGTACCACTGGCTTGAGTGCGCACTGTTAGCCGTGCGCACTGGTCTGAGTTTTCTAATGTAGATTAGAGTGCTACTCTACTCTCTGATGCGCTCTCGCGCGTTACTTTGCATTGCTTTGAGGGGGTTCGAGTCTGCAGGGTTGATTGGTCCGTGCACCCCACTGAAGTGGGGACCCCGCACGGACCCGTCGTAGTTCGAACCTGCGACCTTTAGGATGAGAGTCGGACTGAATAACCACTAGAGTAATACCTCGTTCAAATAAATGTGTTTCGTCGAGGGTCGCCAGTCTCTAGTACCGTACACCGTGGTGGTTAGTTAAATCACAGTCGAAGACCTTGTGCTGCATATTATCACCAGTACTTAGTACGAGTATTAACTGTCAGAGATCGGATATAGGTCAACCGCATGGCAGAGCGTGACACTGTCCATGAGACTAAACCAAATATATACGGTCTATCCCTACTGCGATGATATAAAAAACTGTAATTACTCAGATTCGAACCTGGATCACTCGAGTGACATCCCATCACACTAACCATTAGACCAAACCTACTATATAAAATAAAAGTGCAAGAGTCGCCAGCCGAAAGTTGAGTGTTGCTTGGTAGCACTGAGCATGGACTCACAGCCTACCCAGAGCCCAGAGGGCATTGTCCTTCTCACTGGTACACTGCTGGCCGCTGTGCCACCCAAGTCGCTGACCTACTTCGAGTGCTGAACCTTATTCCGCAATATAATCCCACCGGGATTCGAACCTGGATGCCTCGAGTGATAGCGCGCGCCCTTAACCTGCCAGACTAAAAGGACTGTTAAAGAAGAGGTTGCTTGTGCAACATGGTTCACATGGAATTGATGAAAACTAAAACGTGAATAACTTTTTATTGAGCCTATAAATTCCAAATCCGGCTTCACAGCGATGTTCAGCAGATCGAGATCTGTCGATTGGTGAAGGAATTGGTGGGATTTATAGGCTAGATCGCGAAATCGGCTCCAAACTTAGACATTTTTGGTGGGAGCTCCTAAAGGTAAAAAATAATCGCGCATATGGGGGCCCCTCCCCCATGCGCGGCGGTCGATAAGGGCGGAGGAGCGCCATCCACCTAGCGGTGTGCTGGTTGATCCTGTCACCTGCGGTGCCAGTTGCTAGTCTACCTGCCACGCTGTGGCAGACTTGACGTCCTCGTCCGGCATCATCCTGCCTGACACACTCGTGATGGTGGCTTACCACTATTACTAGATTGGTGTTGAGCCAGTACCACTGGCTTGAGTGCGCACTGTTAGCCGTGCGCACTGGTCTGAGTTTTCCGATGTAGATTAGAGTGCTACTCTACTCTCTGATGCGCTCTCGCGCGTTACTTTGCATTGCTTTGAGGGGGTTCGAGTCTGCAGGGTTGATTGGTCCGTGCACCCCACTGAAGTGGGGACCCCGCACGGACCCGTCGTAGTTCGAACCTGCGACCTTTCGGATGAGAGTCGGACTGAATAACCACTAGAGTAGTAACTCGCTTAAATAATTGTGTTTCGTCGAGCGTCGCCAGTCTCTAGTACCGTACACCGTGGTGGTTAGTTAAATCACGGTCGAAGACCTTGTGCTGCATATTATCACCAGTACTTAGTACGAGTATTAACTGTCAGAGGTCGGATATTGGTCAACCGCATGGCAGAGCATGACACTGTCCATGAGACTGAACCAAATATATACGACCTATCCCTACTGCGATGATATAAAAAAATGTAATTACTCAGATTCGAACCTGGATCACTCGAGTGACAACCCGACACACTAACCATTACTCCAAACTTACTATATATATTAAAAGTGTACGAGTCGCCAGCCGAAAGTTGAGTGTTGCTTGGTAGCACTGAGCATGGACTTACAGCCTACCCAGAGCCCAGAGGGCATTGTCCTTCTCACTAGTACACTACTGACCTCTGTACCACGCAAGCCGCTGACCTACTTCGAGTGCTGAACCTTATTCCGCAATATAGTCCCACCGGGATTCGAACCTGGGTCCCTGGAGTGATAGCGCACGCCCTTAACCTGCCAGGCTAGAAGGACTGTTGAAGAAGAAGTTGCTTATGCAACATGGTTAACATAGAACCTATCAAAACTAAAACGTGAATAACTTTTTATTGAGCCTATAAATCCCAAATCCGGCTTCACAGCGATGTTCAGGAGATCGAGATGTGTCGATTGGTGAAGGAATTTATGGGATTTATAGGCTAGATCGCGAAATCGGCTCCGCAGTTATACATTTTTGATGGGAGCTCCTAAAGGTAAAAAATAATCGCGCATATGGGGACCCCTCCCCCATGCGCGGCGGTCGATAAGGGCGGAGAGGCGCCATCCACCTAGCCCGTAGAGGACCCCCTTTCGGGAGAAATTGGTGTACATGAGGGACATTTATATGAAATACTGTAAACAAAGGCCGATGGTTCACCGGCGGTGAATTCAACTGGAAAGTTGAATGGCTCCTGTGCTGAGTAGTCAGAGTCACAGAGTCCAGTGGTCGGCCCAGTCGTCACTCCTATATCCTGACGATGTTGGGCCGACATTGCTACTGACTCGCTGTTGAGCCGACGCTTTGCTATCGATCACGAGATCGATAGCTGGGCGGTCTCTACTAGACGCCCTATGCTGGACATTTGAGATCTACTTATTAACTTGCGCTTTCGCGCATTCTCTAGATTAACCACACAGGATTTCATGTATCCCGGTGGGAGGGGGTCCGTGCACCCCACTAAAGTGGGGACCCTGCACGGACCCGGTGGGATTCCAACCTGCAACCACCTGCACGCAGACTTGGGCGCTTACCACTACGCTAACTCACACTTTATTCAATACTACTAACTGGTATGCTGTTTTTCTGTCGACCAGAGAAAATATATTTATAGTATGTTGCCGAGAATCGAACCTGGGTCATCCGCATGCGAGTCAACTCCAC